GCAAAGCAGCTGGACTTGACATATGCATGGAGCAAATTAAGCACTTTGGTCCTGCAACCACCTTATGGGTATTATGCCTTTTTAACAACTGTTCATCAACCTTTAGATTACCCAAATTATGGTGACAAGCCTGTGTAATAGCTCTATTGAAGCCAGGAAAGAATGCTTCTGACCCAAAGAACTTCAGGCCAGTATCACTCCTATGCCACCTTTATAATTGCCTTTCACGTCATATCTAACAGGATCTAATACTGCCAAATTTAGACTAGGAAAGTCCTGCACTGGCCAAACACTAAACATCCCCCAGCATGTAGAAGAGGGATTCAAGAGAGGGATGATAACAGACGGTGTGTTCGTAGGCCTTTCAGTTGCATACGATACAGTCAGCCAACAAAACCTCCTTGCCAAAGTCTAGGATACGATGCATGACCACCACCTAGTGCAGCTCATCTGATCTCTTCTGGAGAAGACACATTTTTACATAGCACTGTGTAAGAAATGGAGCCACTTGAGACAACAAAATTGTCTCCCACAGGACAGTGTGCTAGCACCAACCCTTTATATATAATTACACACACACAGTGACCAGCGCATACAGAGCAATATGAGGCGCTTCACATAGGCTGATGATCTATGCATCACGTCACAGGAGAAGGACTTTGCCATCGTCTAGAACAGACTATGAGCAACATCTCAACTTACTACATCAAGAACCAGCTTCACATCAACCCAACCAAGATACAGGTGATGGCTTTTCATTTATGCCATCGAGAAGCGAAGCGGAAAGTAACCACCAACTGAAATGGAATCCCACAGGCTAATCACCTGAACGTTGTCTACCTGGGGATGACCTTGGACCAAATGCTTTCCTTCAAAACACATGTAGAGAAGGTGGAAGGGAAAGTTAGTGTCTGCAATAACATTCTTTGAAAGTTGGTCACCTCAAAGTGGGGAGCTATCAAGCTACTTTGCAAACTACTGCTATTGCTGTGTGCTGCTCCGTTGCAGAGTATGCATGTCCAGTGTGGGAACGATCCACCCATGATAAGAAACTAGATCCTGTCCTAAATGAGAGCTGTCATGTAAAAACAGAATGTCTAAAGCCAAGACCAAAGGATAGCCTGTACTTACTGGTTGGTGTTGCACCACCTGATATCAAGAAGAAGGTAGCAAGCCAAAGTGAAAGATCACAGCAGATGGCATCCGTTATATGGTCACACAGGAGTAAACAAATGCCTTAAATCACAAAAGAGTTTTATGACCAGTGTTGTGCCATTGGATACCACAGCTGGCAAGGCACTACTGAGTTAAGGAATGAAAGATTGCATGTAGTCGGATGCACTGAAACAGATTTGTACCCCCGGGAGGACCTTCCTGGAGGGGCTGATAAAGTCTGTTTAATGTGGTGATGTCTGAACCGCCTATGTACTCAAACTGGTAGATCAAAGTCTAACATGATCAAGTGGGGCTACTCTAAACACCAATACATGTGAGTGTTGTGAAGTGCAGACCAGGGATCACCTGCTTGTTTGCAGACTCCTTGGGGAGACCTGTACAAAGGAGGACCTTGTTGCAGTGACGGAAACAGCCATCACTTGTGCACAGTTCTGGAAAAATGTCTAGTCTGTGACAAGGATACAAGAAGCAGTATTTTGTCTATTTTTTATTATTAAAGAAGACAATCATTCTACTTTTGTTTTTCATTTTATCTCATCCTCCCCTCTATTCTCCTCTCTCTCCAGTGTATATTACTACTGTACTGCTTGGTCCTCCATTCCCCAGATTCTTTTCTCCTACCTCCACATAATACCCTACCAATTGATTCCCTTCTCCCCTAGACATTTCTCTACTACTGGCAGCTCCAGCCACAGAAGATAAGAACATAAGAATGACCCTCCTGGATCAGACCAGGGATCCATCTAGCCTAGTATCCGGTCTTCCGACAGTGGACAGTGCCAGATGCCCAGAGTGAATGAACAGAACAGGTAATCATCAAGTGATCCATCCCCTGTCACTCATTCCCAGTTTCTGGCCAACAGAGGCTAGGGACACTATTCCTGCCCATCCATTGATGGACCATTCTTTTTAGGTGACAGATCTGAGGAACTGTCCCAGATTGAGGTATCATTAGAGGAGGTTTTGGACCAAATTGATAAATTAAACAGCAATAAGTCACCAGGACCAGATGGTATTCACCCAAGAGTTCTGAAGGAACTCAAATGTGAAATTGCAGAACTACTAACTGTAGTCTGTAACCTATCATTTAAATCAGCTTCTGTACCAGATGACTGGAGGATAACTAATGTGACACCAGTTTTTAAAAAGGGCTCCAGAGGTGATCCTGGCAATTACAGGCCTGTAAGCCTGACTTCAGTACCGGTCAAACTGGTTGAAACTATAATAAAGAACAATATTGTCAGACATATAGATGAACATAATTTGTGGAGGAAGAGTCAATATGGATTTAGTAAAGTGAAATCATGCCTCATGAACAGTACTAGAATTCTTTGAGAGGGGTCAACAAACATGTAGACCAAGGGGATCCAGTGGATACAGTGTACTTAGATTTTCAGAAAGCCTTTGACAAGGTCCCTCACCAAAGACTCTTACACAAAGTAAGCTGCCACGGGATAAGAGGGCAGGTGCTCTCATGGATTGGTAACTGGTTAAAAGATAGGAAACAAAGGGTAGGCATAAATAGTCAGTTTTCAGAGTGGAGAGAGGTAAATAGTGGTATCCCCCAGGGGTCTGTTCCGGGACCCCTATCAACATTCATAAATGATCTGGGAAAAGGAGTAAACAGTGAGGTGGCAAAATTTGTAGAGAACTATCTTTAGTAATTTTGTAAGACCCAGGCAGACTGCAAAGAGCTACGAAAGGATCTCTCAAAACTGGGTGTCTGGGCAACAAAATTGCAGATGAAATTTACTGTTGATAAATGCAAAGTAATGCACATTGGAAAGCATAATCCCAACTATACATATAAAATGATGGGGTCTAAATTAGCTGTTACCACTCAAGAAAGATCAAGATGGCGCTTGTTTCCTTTCCTCTTCCTGTGAAACACTGGCTCTTTCAAAAGGCAGGGTTTTGGGGTTTTTTTGTTTTTTGTTTTTTTAAAAGCACATGTATCTATTAAAAAGATGCTCTTAGGGCAGTGTGACCTGCCAACTCTCCACAAATCATCAAGTAGTGGTCTCCAGACCACAGTAAGAACCAGTATTTTAAGCTATTTGCATAATTTTACAAGGCCAGAATTAATCCGTCATTTGAAATTTGTCATACTAGTGACAGTGTTACTTGGCAGTGCATTTCCAAATACTGTGCCAGGTTTGTATTTATATTCCTGCACATTCCAAATACCAGCCCTTTCTTTAAAACAAACTTTTAAGATAGTGGGTATATTTTACTATAACTTTTGAGGCATAAAGGCTCACAGAACCATTTCAGAGAGAGAATGAAGAAATACTCTAGGGGCTTGTCTACACAAACTTACACCAAAATAATTAAACTGGTAATTCACACCTTTTGATATTTCAGTGCAAGTCTCTGTGTGGACACTTATTTTGATTCAAGAGTGCCCTGTTTCAATTTTGCTTATGTAAGTTAAACTACTATACCAAATAGGGCATTTTTCAACACAGGTTTTCAAAATAAAGTTTTCACAGGTCAAGACCAGTAGAAATGCTTCCATGACTACTAAATTTCAACAACAAGACAGTACTGGATATATTTCCATCGCTGCTTTGCTATTCCACTATTCACCACAAAGAACAAACAGTCCCCATCTATGTTTACAAGTCAATCAACTGCAGTGTTGAGTAAGCAATGAACACCAGTGTTAAGTGGACACAAATTGCAAAACTGACTACTCTGTCTATATTGTCCCAAGTAAAAAAATGTAACAAATAGTACAAATACTAAATGAATTATATTGCTTCACTTTCGCTATTCATTACTAGAAAGGGATGAGAATTCCCCACACACACACACACTCTATTAAGGAACACAATCAATTTTAAGAGGTGAATATAATTACTGTATTAAAGTAGACTAGACTGTATCTAGATTTCTAACTAATTAAAAAGAAGTTAGTCTCTTATTTCACTTCATTTGACAGCACCTTGAGTTTCCCCATATATACCGTTTGCATGGATCTTTTACATACCAACAGGAGAAAGAACAGCAACAACAACAAAACCTATTTTTAAAGGAAAATGTGATGGTAAAGCCATTGAAACTGTCAGGACAACTCAAGGCCAGGAGTAGCATCAAAAAATGTATAACTTATTTACACGGCCTAGGATTTCAGGTTGATTTCCTCTAGATATTTACAGTGCGGCAGAGTTTGGCAAAGCAGAAAGCACCCACTCCCTTCTTTGGCTGCTGCCCCCCCCCCCAATATACTGTGACAACAGCAGCATGCGGTGCTGCAGGAGCATAGTGGAAAGAGGGAGGTAACGGAGAAGGTAAGGGTGCTAAAGAATTTAACAGCCAAAGAACCATTCTAGCCTCTTAACACATACACCTTATGTTCACATAAACGACTTGTTCCAACAGGTTTACGTGCATGCGGGTCTATAAGGGATCATTGCAAACTCTTATTGCCAGAGTGTACCTAGGCTAGCTGAAGCGGCTCAACCACTCCTCTCCGTGGAGTACACGGGTGGTCGTCCCTAATCTCCCAGAATCCACTGCGTTGTGCCCGTCCTCTGGAACAGGGAGCCAGAGGGCACTGCAAGGGAAATGGTTTAGGACAGCGGTAGTATGAACTGGAGGCTAAACTAGAACCAGCAGCAGCACGCGCCGCTCGAACACACTGACCCACGTGGACTTAGCACAGTGCAGCGCGGCCAGCCCCGAGGCAGCGCCTAGAGACAAAGGACACTGGGGGAGGCCGGGCCGGGGGCGGCTGCTGCAGCCTGGCCGAGAGCAGGGAGCGGGGAAGGGCGAGGCCGGAGGGCCCAGCGCAGGGAGGCCGGGGCTGTGCTGACACTCACCGGTCTCCAGGGCCTGGTTGTATTTCTCCAGCGCGGCCGGCAGCTCCTGCTTGTCCCGCAGCTCGTCTCCCTCGGCGCGGAGCCGCCGCGCCCGGCTCTCCCCCTCCAGCCACTTCTCCAGCAGGTTGCCCAGCACCACGTTGACCCGGGCGCTGGCGGGGCCGGGGGCGTCGGCGACGCGCCGCGGCCGGTGGCAGCGGCCGCAGTCGCCGGGGCTCGGCACAGCGTCCGGGCGACTGGGTGTGGCCGCAGTGCAGGGTCACCGGCTCGCAGAGCAGCCGCCGGCACAGGGGGCAGCCGAGCAGCTCCGGCGGGCGGCAGCAGGCGGGGTCGCCCAGGACCTCGCCCGCCCCCTCGGGGCCGCCGCCCGGCCAGGGCGGCAGGCGCAGCGCCTTCTCGCGGAGGCTGAGGGCCAGGCTCTCCGCCAGCTCCCGCAGCTCCTCGGGCCGCAGGCGGGCCAGCCGGGCGGCGGCGCTGTAGGCCTCCAGGGCTTCGGCCATGCGGCCGGCGCGGGCCAGCGCGTCCCCCCGGCGCAGGCAGAGGCCCCGCTCGGGCTGCGGCAGCTCGGCCAGCTGCGAGCCGTAGATCTCGGCCGCCAGCTCGAAGTTGCCGCCACGAAAGGCCTCCTCGGCCACCTGCAGCATCTCGGCGCAGGGCCCCGGGCTCAGCTCCATGCCGCCCGCTCCGCTCGCCGGGCCGGCCCGGCCCCTACTCCATGCCGCCTGCCCGCGCCTCCTTCCCGGCAGGCTCGGGCCCGGGGGGCGGCGCTGCCTCGCTCGCTTCCTCCCCCAGTCGCGGGCGCCGGCCCCCCCGCACCGGCTTATTTATTATGTAATGGTTGTGTAACGCGCCCCCGCCCGGGGCGGCGCCGCCTCCTGCCCAGCCGCCGCGGTGGGGAGCGGCGGCCCGGAGATCGCACCGCACACGCCCCCTGCCGCCCTGCACCGGCCGGCTGAGCGAGGGGAGCCCCCTGCGGGCTGGGAGCCTGCTCGGCGCCGCGCAAAGGACCGTGTTCAGCACAGCGAGGACGCTGCGCTGCGGAGAGCGCCCCGCCGCTGCAAGCCTCTCTGCGTAGATGGAAAGGCCCCGTCATGGCTCCTCCAAGACTTAGTAACTGGAGGGACATCAGCCTCTGGGCTGGACCTAGGGTGACCAGACAGCAAGTGTGAAAAATCAGGACAGGGGGTGGGGGGGATGAGGTGCCTATATAAGACAATGTTCCAAATAGCGGGAGTGCCCCTATAAACTCGGGACATCTGGTCACCCTAGGTCCAGCCCAGAGGCTGATGTCCCTCCAGTTACAAGTCTTGGAGGAGCCATGACGGGGCCTTTCCACCTACGCAGAGGGGCTTGCAGCGGCGGGGGGGCCTCCGCCGCGCGGCGG